CGAGATACTACCCGGAACACTGCCTTACCGGGATAGCTTAGTAAAAATTGTGACTGTCCTGGCAAATCCAGGACAGTTGAAAAGTATGATTTAATGCAAGATTATCATGGGGCCCCCCTTTGCACCTGGGGCAGTGTCAAGGAGTGCCCATGTATTAAGATGGCCCTGTGTCATTTCGACTATGTGTACAGCTTTCCTTCCGACAGAAGCGGGCCTAAGAATCGACTTTTGTCGAAGGGACATTGTGGAAAACCAGCATCCAATCAGCACTCACAGCCATTGGTGGGGGAGAGTCCCCCTGCTAACACAAAGACACAGCGGGAGAGATTGCTGTACCAACATCGCCTGGTTAGTACAGCAATTTCTCAGTTTTGTTTTTTTCATTTAGCCTCCTGGGTTGAACAAAAAAAAACCCCTCAATGTCTGTACCGGGCTTTTGGCCTGGTTCACGCTAATGTGATTTTAGATGTGACTTGGGTTACACTGAATCGCACGACAGTGGAAATAACATTGCTTTCAATTGTGCCTGTTCACATCAATGCAGCTCAGCTGCAATGAAACTTTGAAAAGGTGCCTATACTACTTTGGTGCAATTTACAGTGCAGTTTAGCCCCATAGAATAGGCAACCCACATTCAAAACACAGCCAAAGTCACATTACATAATCACACTGCAAATCGATTGTGAGCCAAGCCTTAAAGCTGAACTCTGGGAAAAAACAACTTTTGGACATATGCTATGTAAAAGCAAATAACCTCTAGTGGTGGGTGTACCATGTGTGGATGCTCCTGCATTAGTTAAAACTTTTACTTTCATTTAGTCCATATGCTACTGTAAGTGCCAAAATTCTGGTACTGAAACTTGGGCTAGGTTCATGCTTGTGTGATTCGGGAGGAATGCTTGCAAAACCACAGGCAAAACACGCTGCTCTGTAGCAGATGTTGGGGGGTGCCATTATTTTTAGGAAAGAAGCGCATTTTCACACGTACCAAATCACATGGCACTGCAGTACCATGAGAATAGGTGTGACGCAATTAAAAAAAGAGCCAAGGACTTCTCTCCTGCATTTCTGTGGGTAGGGCAGGACGCACAAGTGTGAACGTAACCTTCTAGTACAGTGATGATAGTGTGTCACCTGATCTCCACCTCATCTATTCACAAAGCATCCTGTATTCTATTTAGAGATGAGGTGCAGATGCATGTCACAATTCCCCTTCATCCAATCACAGAATACTTTGTATTCTGTGAAAAAAGCACAAGACACTTTGATGAGGTGGAAAGTGAGCAACTTACTATCACCACGACACGACCCTTATCATATCACGACTACTGCAACTCCCTCCTCGCCGGCCTACCCCAACACAGGCTATCCCCGCTTCAGTCTATCCTGAATTCTGCGGCCAGACTCATTCACCTCACCAACTGCTCCATATCCGCCTCCCCCCTCTGCCAATCCCTCCACTGGCTTCCGATTGCCCAACGCATAAAATTCTAAATATTAACATTGACGTACAAAGTTGTTCATAACACTGCCCCAAACTACATCACCGACCTGATATCCATCTACCACCCAAAATGCACTCTCCGTTCCTCACAAGACCTCCTACTCTCTAGTTCCCTGGTCTCCTCCTCCCATGCCCGTCTCCAGGACTTCTCCAGGGCTTCCCCCCATCCTCTGAAACTCACTACCCCAATCCATCAGACTATCACCTACTCTCCTCACCTTTAGGCGTACCCTGAAAACTCATCTTTTCAGAGAATCCTACCCAGCCCTCACCTAATTGCTGATCTTCTCCGCTCTTCCCACCACTCCATCCCCCACAGCTATTTCCTCCTGTACCACTCTCCCCTCCCTCCTAGATTGTAAGCTCCAAGGAGCAGGGCCCTCAAACCACTCGTGTATTGTATTGTACTAGAGCTGAGCACTTACAGTGTTAAGAAAGGTGAATGAATCCAAGCGTTCTTAACCAACACAAGAGGGTCCACACAAGGGACACCCATCATTAAAGATCATTTATTTTAACACAGGAACATTTTTGACATTTCAATTTTTTCCTCTGCACTGGAGTGTAACGACACTGAGATTGGAATGTGCATACTGTGAACACCAAGTCCTCAGTGCATGTTCAGCCTCTTGTTAGCTAGGTCACCTTTGCAGCTGACAGCATCATAGCAATAGATGACTCATCCCCAGTCAGCTTCCGATTGAGAGGTGGGGATACTAGTTATATAATTGTCCAAATATGGTCATTGCCATTGCCATATATGGACAGGGATGTCACCAGAAATCCTGCCCTTTTTTTTGCTTTCAGTTATACACCAGGCAATCTCCTGGCTGGCAACTGAATAGAACCAGGGATGAGTCATCGGTTGCTATGAAGCCAGTGACTGCTGGGGTCCTAGCAACCACAAGCCCTGCGCTGGAAGTTGTCACATTAACAGCTTCCCGTCTGCCCATAGCTTATTGATGGTGGACAGGAAGCTGTGCCTGTACCTGTACCTTGGCGATCACATTACTGCTGTGTCTGGGTGATCACATGGTGTTATACCCTGTGATTGCTGTCTCCAATCACAGCAATCACATAGTAAATAATGAAAGTGAAAGTAAAGATATGTTCTCTTTGCTCTCACTGTGAGAGCAGAGAGAACCGATGCTGAGGCCTGTGAATGTACAGCAGCCTATCAGGTTGCATGTACACTCACAGAATGCAGTGCCAGCCACCCCAGTGTCCCTGATCACTGCCCCAGTGTAGGAACAATAAAGTGTGCATCAAGATCACCTCCATATCCCATACCAGCATCCTGATCACCTCCATATCAGATACCAGAATCCTGATCACCCCATATGCCATACTATCATCCTGATCACCACCATACCAGTGTCCTGATTACCACCATACCTTATGCCAATGTCTTGATCACCGCTATACCCCATACCAGCGTCCTGATCACTGCCATATATCATATTAGCATCTGGCATTTTAGGGTCTCAACTGATCAATTTTCAAATATATTGTATATCCCATACATTGTAGACTTTACAACTCTCACATAGACTAAATAATATAGAATGTTTTGGGTTAATTTTACCCCAAAATGCAGAATACATTTTTGCCTAAATTTATGAAGAAAGATTATTTATTTGCAAAATTTTATAACAAAAACTAAGCAAAAAAAAATTTTTTTTTCAGTATATTTTCATTTATATAGCAGAAAATAATAAACCCAGTGGTGATCAAATACCACAGAAAGAAAGTTCTATCTGTCTTAAAAAAATGATAAAAATTTTATATGGGTACAGTGTTACATGACGGAGTAATTGGCACTCAAAGTGTGATATGCTGAAAGCTGAAAATTGGCGTAGACTGGAACTGGGATTATTCCCAGCACATATGCCCGACTTGGCGCACTGACGTCTCTCTGTACACCAACATACTTACCACCATTTTGTTTATCTGCAAAGTAGCGGTAATTCCATTAGGATTTGTCTCAGCCATAGCAACAGATTCTAGAAGTGGCGGTAGTAAGTACTACCTGAATCAGGTGCACATATAAGTACTGGTACTTCCGCATAGCTTTCATGAATTTGGGGAAGGCCATGTTTAAGGGACCATACTGCCAGAAAAGCATCTTTATTGTTTTATTGAATTTTCCCCTATGAGTCTTATTGATCTGCAGTTACTGAATGACTAAAAGTTGATTAGAAAGGCACTGAAAAAAAAAATCATTGCGCCCCTACCAAGTAATTAACCTTGGAAATGGAATGGTTTTGTAACACGTGGGTAGGAGCTCTCATCAATGCTGGGAGAAAACCTGTAATATTATTTCATTAGTGAACTACTGCATGTCTGAGCACACTTTTCTAAATGACAGATTCCCTTGAAGCTTTTGAACAATATAGGAACTCAGAGGTTACACTGGGATGAATTTACTCAAGGAATATAGCAAATTGAATGTTAAGCTGGCCATACGCACACAGATTTCTATTATTTATCCTGCAGGCTGAATAAAAGGAATCTAAATAGATCACTGTTTAGCATGGATGGAAGAATCTCCCCTGCTAGATATTGTATTCAGACAACCACAGTACCTGCAGCTGCCTGAAGTTGGATGGTGCTGCCAGGGCCACCCAAGGCTTGCAATTCCCACAATTCAGCTGTAGTTGGAGCTGTGTATGGCCAGATTTAGTGAATAAAATAAAAAAAAAGAAACCAATCAGCTTCCAGGTTTTATTGTCAAAGTTGAATTGAACAAGCTGAAGTTAGAAGCTGATTGGCTATCATGCACAGCTGCACCAGATTCTGAGTACTCCAGTTTTAGTAAATCTCCCCCATAGTATCCTTACAGCCTAGTAACCATACTCTTTACTTTAACCACTTGCCTACTAGACACTTTCACCCCCTTTTTAGCTTTTAGTGCTTTTGCACTTTGAATGACAATTGCGTGGTCATTCAACACTGTACCTAAACCAAATTTTTATAATTTTTCTTTAGATAGATAGAGCTTTCTTTTGGCGGTATTTAACCATTTGTTTTTTTTTCCTAAACAAACTAAAAAAGACAAAATTAGAAAAAAAAACGTTTTTCTTAGTTTCTGTTATAAAGTGTTGTAAATAAGTAATTTTTTTCCTTTATTGATGTGTGCTGATGAGGCTTCACTAATAGGCTGTACTGATAGGTGGCACTGATAGACAGCACTGATGGGTACTAACAGTCATCATTGATGGGCACTGAAAGGCAGCACTGATGGGCACTGATATGTGGCACTGATAGGCAGCACCGATGGGAACTGATAGGCAGCACTGACTGGCACTGATAGGTGACACTGATTGGCACTGATAGGTGGCACTGATGGGTACTGACAGACTGCACTGATGAGGAGGCACTGATAGGAGGCACTGATGGGCATTGACAGGCATCACGGATGGGCACTGAAAGGCAACACTGTTGGGCATTGATAGGTGGCACTGACAGGCGGCACTGATGGACACTAATAAGCAGCACTGACTGGCACTGATAGGCGACAGTGATGGGCACAGATAGGCAGTACTGACTGGCACTGATAGGTGACACTGATGGGTACAAATAGACTGCACTGATGATGAGGCACTGATGGGCATTGACAGGCATCACTAATGGGCACTGAAAGGCAGCTCTGATGGGCACTGATATTTGGCATTGATGGACACTGATCTGTGGCAATGATGGGCATTGAAAAATATGACTGATAGGGCTGCACTGATTATCAGGGCACTGATGATTAGTGCCCTGATTATCAGTGTAGATGTCCCCTCTGAGGAATGCTGCTTACCGGCTCTCCTCACGCACTGTCAGCATGAGGATAGGACTGCCGATAACCGGCATTTCCTTTTTACATGTGATCAGCTGTGATTGGATACAGCTGATCACATGGTAGAGCCTACGTCATCAGCTCTTTACCGTGATCGGTGATCCGCTGTGTCATAGGGAAACAGCGTACCACTGATCGCCGGCGCACCCAGGGGCAAACGTGAAGCTGGAGTGGGAAGATGTCATATGAGGAGGTTAATATAGTGTTGCTATATAATAAAATATTTATATTATTAAAGTGCAGAAGACAGGAATTCTACAATTGTGGTATATGCCCCTAAATGTGAGGATTGTTTAGAACAGCATATAGCTCCCATGTATTTTAACATGTCATAGTTTTAGATAGACTGTTGGCAGTAGGCTGTGCACTGCACCTGTGCCTCCCGTGTGCCCAAAGTATATGTCACCAGCACATCAAGGATTTTTGAAATAAAATCCAAGTGTTTATTTGGGGATCACATCACAGTATTAAGTGCAATGTTTTGGGGCCACACAGGACCCCATCATTGTATCATGTGCTTGATGAAGGGGTCTTGCTTAGCCCTGCAACATTGCACTTAACGCACTTGGACTTTATTTCAAGGATCATTGGTGTGCTGGTGACTTATACTTTGGCTTTTGGTTCCATTCTCCATCTGACAGTTGCTGCAGCACCTAGCATCCAGTTCCACCTCATTCTGGATGACACTTGGACAAGAAACTGGCAATTTACAGGTACTACCAGGAGGCAGTAATGAGTGATCCCAATGCCTGATCGACTCATTGTTGTTTACAAAGTTTTTCTAGATTGTTGGATGTGATTGTAGCCAAATGAATGCACTATTGTAGCAAAACCATTGAGTACTGTCTGTGGTGCTTGTTTTATTTGTACTGTTAAATTTTCAAGGCAAGCTTTCGGGGCCTCCCCTATTTGGATATTCTCTGTCCTAACAAAGGGTTAAAGGTGTAGAGGCTGAGCTTCTTGCTTTACATGTACATGAGGACAGACCTGGTACAGGCTCACTCTAATGCAGGCCATACATTATGCAATTTTCTTTCCTTCACCCACAGGTTGAGAGAAAGAAAATTGCTTGTTTCCTCTGTGACTGTGTTGATGGGGGATTCCCTCCCACAATGCTATTGTGTTCTTCCTGTAGGAAGTGCAGGGAGCCTTCACCACCAGCAGAATACAATGATCATTGCTGTCGGCTATTGCTTCCGGCAGTGATTGGGCAAAAAAAAACCAACAGGTTGGTTGTATTGAAGTCAATAAATAGATAGACTTCAGTACAACCAGCCTGCCCATAGATGGATAGGAAATTGCCCGGTTCCTGCCAAGCCAGAAAAATTTCAACTATGGCTGGCTTAACTTTATTCAGAAAACCTTGCAGTTAGCCATGACACCTCCTACTGAAAAATACATAAAAGGTAAGAGATGTTTAAAAAAAATGTAGGCATGCCATGTGTACACATAACAAACATATAGTAGGGTTTTCTCAAATTTGACTGCAAAAGTGGAAATATGCATTAAGCTGGATATATATGGTTAGTTTTTTTCTGTTCAGCCAGAGGAATGCCTCCACCAGGACATTGTACTGAAATTGTACTGTACAATCTCTTGGGACAACAGCACCCCCAGCTGTCAGAATACACTGATCCATGGCTGGAGCTGATTGGCTACAGCTGTTGATCGAGGAAAAAATTCCAGTGTGTCCCTTTAACACAAAATGATTGAACAGTTGACTTCTATTGACTTCTATTGAGAAAAAATGGCCACACACTTTTTGACATTGCTAAACCAGCCAAATTTTGATCAGTGGATGGTAAGCATTAGCAAAATGTTAACAATAAATCTGCAAGACAGTCTCTGAAAAAAAAACACACAGACACACAAAGGTAATAACATTCAGGGACTTGATCAGATAAGGAGTAAAGAAGCGGGCTGTAAAATGAGAGGGAGAAAGGAGAGAACCACAGAGGTTATAAAATATTTCATAATGATTCAGAAATTTTAGGTCTAGCTTGTTGGGAACTTCCCAAATGATCTGGACGATCTCTCAGTGAGCAGAGGAATTGACAGTGTTGCTTCACTTCTGCCTGTGGGCGAATCACACAAAATACAATGGCAGGTCATTGTACTACACACAATGGGAACATGTGTCCTTTTGATTGAGCTGTCTTTTCATTTTGTACAGGTATTTATATAACACCAGCAATTTTCATATTGGACAATGGCATCAGTCTCTACCCTCAAGGAGCTTACAATCTAAGGTCCCTATTTCCCATGCATACTTACACATACCAGGGCCAGTTTGGATAGCAGCCAATTATACTTCCAGCATATCTTTGGTATGTGGGAGGAATCCTACATAAGCACAGGGAGAACATGCAAACTCCATGCAAAACATGCAAATAGTGTCCTGACCAGGGTATGAACCAGGGACACCAGTGCTGCAGGCTGTTATGGAAGTGCTAACCACTAAGCCACTATGGTTAGTGATGGGTTGCCCATACCTTGCCTGTAGTTTACAAGAAGTGTTAACAATTTGCAATAAGTATGGGCTACCTCCTGAGACATGACAAACATTTGCTAGTAACTATAGACATTTAGCAATATGCTGGAGAGTTTCTGTGGCCAGTCAAAGAAGGTTCCCTTTTCTCCATGAAAATGGGGGAAAATTTAACAACACATTCAGCCTATGTGAAAGACATCCCATATCCAGAGTCAAGATGGGGGATTAACAGGTGTTTTTCCAAGAGCTTTGCCACCTCCAGGTATCCTTGGGGAAAGATCGGTTCATCTATTCTTTACATACTATAGTCAACAGTTACGGCTAAGCTAATAACACTTCTTACAATATGTTACATTTTTATTTTTTGTTTTAGGTTACTGTGCAGAAGAACAATGCTACAGAGGATCCAATCATTTTCAGTTTACTTACAGTCTGAGGAAGAGCCATGGGGACTGAAACATCACGGCTGTTTTTTCATGAAATTGTTTGAATAGACTATCAAAATCTCTATTCCTTGGTGTGGTAACATAGCCCAACACAGTGGATTGATGGTAGGAATGTGCCAATCATTTGGGGTGACAACATAATGTGGTGAGAATGCTTTTCCATTTACTACTATCAGCATGGGAAATGCCTACTGGATGAATGGGTAATACAGAAACTTTCTTCAGATTCTCCCAAGGCATCTACACTTTATGTATCTTACTTAAATCTCACTTACAAATTTTATTTACTAGGCCATGCGTTATTTATTTATTTTAGGTACTTATATAGCACCATCAATTACGCAGCACTTTACACATATATATTGTACATTCACATCAGTCCCTAACCCTCAAGGGGTGTACAATCTAAGGTCCCTAACTCACATTCATATATACACATATTAGGGCCAATTTAGACAGGATCCAATTAACCTACCAGCATGTCTTTGGTGTGTGAGAGGAAACCAGAGTACCCGGAGGAAACCCACACAGGCAGAGGGAGAACATGCAAACTCCAGGCAGGTGGTGCTGTGGCTGAGATTCGAACCAACGACCCTAGTACTGCCAGATGGAAGTGCTAACCATTTAGCCACTGTGCTACCCTAGGACAGGAAAGAGGAGAATCACAGAAGAACTATTTTTATATGGAACATTTACATCCACCAGTAGCATGCCCAGCACATCTGGCACCTGGTGCTGGTTTTTAATTTTTGAACCTCCTAATGGTTTGAAGAAATAAAGTGGTGCACATAGCGTGCTGCTGCAGTTGCAGGGACTTAAAGGGTCACAGATAAATAACACCTAAAGGTGTGTATAGACGCATAGATTTTTTTTCCTTCAACCAGCGGGTTGAACAAAAAAAACCTCATAGATCCCTGAATTACCACAATGTGTTGCCTGCAGACAACAAAGGACATGGAAACAAGGCTAAATGACTTAAGTCTGCATGAAAATATAGGAACTGGTTGCAGAAAAATGGCAGCAGGTGCTCTGGACTGAGGACTCAAAATATTAAATATTTGGCTCTGGCAAAAAGCAGTTTGTTCACAAAGGGCTGGAGAGCGGTAAAATAATGAGTGTCTGCAGGGAACAGTGAAGCATGGCGGAGGTTCCTTGCAAGCTTGGGGCTGCATTTCTGCAAATGGAGTTTGAGATTTGGTTAAGATCAATGGTGTCCTCAATGCTGAGATGCATGAGGGCTGGGGGCTTATTAGAGGAGTACTGAGACAGATTGCTGTGATATTTTCAGGAAGCTATGTATAGCACCCTGCTTGCTGCCCCCCTACATTTCATAGGGAAACATCTTGTCACTGGGTGTAAAAAAAGTATGTTAATATAAACAGAAAGGTTTTATTCAATAAAATTAAAGTGGGCTTGAAAGCCCGGGAAGTGGCATGATGGTGGCTTGGCATTAAAGCCCACTTTCCATTCTGGCACATACTGTATATGGGAATCGAAGGAACCATGGAAGCAAAATATAAACAGAATTAACTTCAGCCTTAATCACAATATCTACTTTTTAAATATATAAATAAATAATAGCTACAAATGTTAGCCTGACTAATTGATTACTTGGCTTTTTTTTCAGACATGATCCTTCTTTATGAGCTGAAGCTGCAGGCAGTTATTGTGAGTGCCAGGACTAGACCATCCATACAAGTAAGTGACATACAGCATCAGACCAGAATCATGGACCTTTCAGGAATCTTAATTATTATTTCTTCTAGCTTGGAATATAGTTATACATTTCCCTCATGTGTTTCCTAAGACTTGGATATCGCATGTTATCAGAGTATATACAGTCATGGCCAAAAATATTGGCACCCCTGCACAGGGGCGGACTGACAACTCATGGGGCCCCCAGGCAATAGGGTATCATGGGGCCCCTGTGTCCTCACCCACACTCAAACCACACCCAAAAAAGCATATAAAAGGTACCAGGGGCATCTCATGGGGCCCCCTACTGACCCCTGGCTCTCTAGCAGTGCCCGAGTTCCCAAATGGTCAGTCCGCCCCTGCCCCTGCATTTCTGTCAGATAATGCACCACTTCACCCAGAAAATTGTTGCAATTACAAATGTTTAGGTATTCTCATGTTTATTTCTTTTGTTTGTAGTGGTATGACACAAAAAAGTGGAGAAACAAAAAACCAAATATGACACATTCCACGCAAAAC